TTTAAAAGATATTTTGTGCAATATTTAAATATATAATTTATGTAAATAATTAAATTAATAATATTCTTACAAAAGGAGGAATTTATTTGTTAATTTTTATTCTATATTAATATACATTTTATTATCATTAATATGTATATACATATGTATTTATAATTATTCTAATTGTATTATATACTTATATATTATATAAATATTAATAATACAAATTGACGAATAGAATTATTCTCCCATAAGAATATTATTAACTTAATGATTTATACATACACAAAAAATATTTTCATCATTGAAAAAATATAATTGTAGCGAATCGAACATTTAATAGATATATCAGTTTCCAAAATTGGGAATGTTTTATGACAAATGTACATAAATATATATATTTCATATAAATACACTAGTTCTAGGGCATCCTGTTTTCAGACATCGGCGCAGCTTTGCGCATTTCTAGTTTGAAATAATGTTTTATTGATCGCAATAAAGGCGCTTTCTCGAGTGCAGCGTCGCCGGTTAATAAATAACACATCGAATGGTAATGCCGAGTGACGATGACGAGCTTTTTCCTCTCGCGCGCGGACGGAAAATATCACCGTGGAAAATCAGGTTTCGTAACGTGTTAACGAGCAACGAACGCAAAGCGAGAAACGCGAGCGAGAGGTGACAAGGATACGGCTGCGCGACTAAAGGATGTCAACTGCACTCTCCAAGCGTGACTCGTACCGGTTCGCGAGGCGGTGCGGTGGTTCAACTTGCTAGGATAAATTATACCGGACGTAAGGACGGCTGGAGTCCTTGGGATGGCGTAACTTTCCGCAGTTAAAGAATCCCGCGGCGAATTATAGCCTCGTCGACGGAATCGCGATGATAATCCCGTTAATATTATAGGATTAAGAAAACGTAATTTTTAGAAAAAGAACGCAATTTTTTCAATATCGTATATAATTTTCGTATTCGAGTATAATTCAGGGTGTTCAGCAGACTTAATAAAAAAATTTCCTGATTTTTTCAGATTTTCCAAGACCGGAAATTAATTTTTTTCCTGACTTTTTAGTATTATTTTTTCCAAATATATAATTTGCATCTATATATGATCAAGCAATTAAATGTTAAATAAGAAATCCTTGAGATATTTTTGACAACAATGAAAAAGTTCGGAAGTTAAAAAAATAAAAATTTAAATCAATTAGCATGGAAAAAGTTATTATATTTATTTAATAAAAAATTTCCAATTATTGAGACAAATGTAGAATAATGTAAAAAAATCCAGATAAATAGTAAAATTTCCTGACTTTTCCCTGAGAATTCCAGATTTATAAAATTCCCTGACAATGCCCGGTTTTCCAGATTTCCCTGACCGCTAGACACTCAGATATAATTACTCGAAGAGAAATCATACATACGTTCTCCAACCGATATATCTTCGCGATAATAAGATTGTTTAGCGATATATGTGTATCTATATTTTGCAAAAAAGAAAATATAAAAAGACGCTTCTTCGCTTTTGGCGCGGAGAAACATATCTTACTTATCTGGTGAGCTATACGAGATACGGATCGCGTGTGTGCATATATAATTTTACGTATGCGCGAGCACGCGCTATTTGCAAGCGGCGGCAATATATATAATTTATGTCGTAATTTAATCCAGGACAGCAGTTAACGCTCCGTTGTAATAGATAAAACGGTTAATTCGTTGAATAGCCAGTCCCATAATTACGAAACGTCGATCCGCGAAACTTTCACGCGAACAAGGTGGTCTCTAAGCAGTATATATACATATACATACGTATATACAAGCGCTTCGCGCTTTCCTATCGTTTTAATATTTATCGATCATGCCATTGCATATATATTACATCAAGCGCGAAATTAGACGCGTCGATGCGTTACTAAAAAAATACTGGGATATATTAAATGAACATATAAGTCCATTACGATAAGATTTTATATATAAATAAAAGACGGTATTTATTTCGAAAATAATTAATATCGATATTTGCTTAATACCGAATCAATATATTGTACAGTTAATTTAATAATTCTCTCTGTGTGTTTTTGTGTCGCAATATGAACGTCTGTTAATTAATTTAAACATAAGAGAAAGTGAGAATCGCGCGCTCGTTGTAATGAAGCCGTAATTTCATGTAATAATTCGTTTGAAGATAGCGTGTCACGGAAACGTTACTTTCCATCGAATCTCTCGAAGAAGCAGCAGATCATTCTCGATAGGTCCCCGACTTGATACCCCAAGGCGTAAAACAATTACTTTGCGAGACTACCGGAAGCCTTAAAGCTACCACACGCGAACGATCAAATCGTACCGACCATTAACCGACACTGCATATTACTAGGGGACATTCCACGAAGAAAGTATATTCCCGCAAGAACGACTTTTACGGAGACATATCGTGACGAGAAATCTTTGAAAGAAGTAAAGATGCAAGGACGCGAACTCACATGTATTATTAATGACAGAAGCGCGCATCATACGTATACGAGCCTAATTACGCTTTATCGTTCCCAACGCTTCTCTTCCTATCTGTAATGACGACCCGGCAATGCACAGTTAATTGTTGGCACGTGGATCATTATCAGCGATCCCTATGTTGTACCTACATGCACGTATTATCACAAAAATCTCATGATGTGCGCTTGTATTATAAATATTTATATATTATATATATATTATAAAGCATCAATAAAATATACGTATATTAAAACATTATAAGTATTAAAATGATTAAACATAGCTATAAAACAAATTTATTCAAAAAGTCAAATGAGAAAATGCACAAGGAATAAAATAAAAAAATATATTTTACATAAATATTTCATATATTATAATGTAAGATAGATCACTCTTTATTATGATGAGAAGCACTTAATTATATAAATAATAAATTACATAAGTGAAAATATATTAACTTACGTCAGGAAACTACTTCTCCATCATCCGATGCCTATATCTGTGTGTTTGCTCTCTTTTTTATTCATCTTTTATTGCTACTTCATGGCACACTCACTCACGAAAATACAATTTAATTACGATCGCAAATGCTCTAATAAAATAGAATGGTTAATTAAAAGATAGAAGACTGTCCAAGAACACAGTTCCAATTAAATTTCGAAAATAAATGCATTATTAATGAACGGTCAATGTGTTACGTCTCTTCATCAGTTGAATCGTTCGATCCAAGTTACATATTATTATTTTTATAAGTAATAAAATTAAAAGGCCAACTTAACGAGCTAATTAATTAGGTGTTATTATTTTTAATCCGAAAAAAGAACAATAAATAATTTGTAAAAATTTCTGTCAAAGGGCGCGATAATATTTGTATTTAAAGTTAGTATTTAAGGAAAACTAATTTGACAAGAAGACTGAAATCATTAATATCGAAAGTTAAGAGAACCGCGTGTCGATAGACGACATGTAATACAATCTTCCCGATACCTTCCACGACGAGCGTTGACTGAATAATAATAATCTTTTCGTTCTCCCGATCCTCGCGCCTTCTCCCACTTGTCGCCTCTCAATCTCAATATCTTTCGTTGTGGTGAACCCCACTATTCCGCGCCGCATTGACATACCATTACCGTTCACCGGCATGTCAACAATAGTGCGCGACGTGAAGGCCGAACACGGTAAACATACTATTTCGTTAGCAACGATGTATTAAATTGTATTATACTATGTTTAGCCTTTGCGTGTCACGGTCTTGCTATCATTCACACGGTGAATCTCGAATGGAAAGATATAATTATACGTATGTCGTTGCATTATATTTTTGATATGCGATCATGATTATTGTAATTAGAACTATCAGGCCGTGTGATTAAGTAACTTTTACGATTAATGATTAACGTAAGAGCATCGTGGCATTATTTATAGAAGTAGAATTTCGCGTAATATATATATATACATATTCATTCTAAAATCGAAGTGAGAAAAAATCGGAATTATAAATTGTTTTGAATTGTAAATTATAAATTGTTTGTTACCGTAATATACATATATTCACGACTAATTAAACATTTCCTTAAATACATTTGAAATATATGTCATCTCATTTTAATCTAAGTTTTTCGCTTTTTTAGTGGAATTTATTCGGATCGAAAGCACAGAGGAGTAAACAAATTGAATTGAACAATCATGAATGATACAAATAATAATTCGGAGCTGTGACGTATAGACCGTTTATTAATAATACTTTTATTTTGATAAATATTTTCATGTTTCAAATATATCGCATATATAATATTAAATTTCGATTTTGTGTATTTTTTAGTGTATTAATTCGATTTAATAATAGTATTATGTAATACCGTGTGATTTTTGAGCGCCAAAAATCGAGAGATTATCGTATTCGTGCTGTAATTAACTGTATTTTCACAACTGAATGTGAATGTCATGAAAAAGCAGCAAATAAATACGAGAGAAGGAGTAGATCTGGCGTAAGCAACTTCTTTAATTGATTATTGATTGTGAAATTAATGTTCGTTTATTTCAGCGTTAATATCCATCCATAATTTAATGTTTAATCTTAATGATACAACAAAATAATTTTCAAAGCAAAATTTTTTTAAATATTTTTTTGTAAAGAAATATTTCTATTTCTTATACAGGATGTCCTGTAATAACCGCCACACCTTTCGCGTGTAGGTAGAGTTAGTTAAAAGTAGGAAGTCCAAGTAGGAAAATCCTCTTTCCTTTTACGATCTTCTCAATAATTAATAAGAAATTAATTTTTAAAATTAGCCAATCTCATGCACTTAACATCGGCGTAATATTGGGCTATCTTTTTTCTCATTAATTATTGCGAAAATTACAAAATAGAGAACTATTTTCTCCTCGGTTTATCTCGTTCTAACTGTACTTAATTACTTTAAATAATTTTAAATAACGATTGATATAAATTCAATTAAGTTTAATAATTATTTTGAACACTGTGCTACATATAAATCGCTATATATTAAATATATGTACTTTTTATTTTACAGATCAACCTAGGCCTATAACTTTATTGCTGTTGCTCATCATATCGGTGAGTTAAAAAATTTTCTATCACACATGCGAGCATGCGACATACACGTATACATATATATCTTGAGTTAAACGAAGTTATCCCGTATCCTGTTATTAATTTTTCCTTATCTTAAAATATTCCAAGAGACGCGTTTATTAATCAATCTTGCGCAGTAATCTTGTTTTTAACAAACATGTAACGCTAGTTTTTTGTAGAAATTTTAAGACTTTCACATTTTTTAGCTTTTTATTTTCTTAATATTGGCAAATATTAAATTTTCGCTTGAAGCGCATGCTCTGAAGCTTCAATGAGATTAATAAACAGAAGCTCCTCTTTGCGTTAACATATGCGTGACGCGGTATGACAATCTAATGGACTAAGAAGTCAGTTTTCACTTTCCATCGACCTCGAGGTTGTACGAACATGTGTCCACTCACGCAGGCACACTCACCGGTATACAGTGTACATCAATGCCGATACATGCACGGCTATTATTCTCATTACTCGCCGTCAGGTTGATCGGGCAGCGACAGATCGAGTCGAAAGCCTATTTTTCCGCGGTCGCTCGAGGAGAGGAAAGTGCGGTCGTAGGAGGAAACCAATTTAGTTGCATGTAGGTGTACATACACTCGTATGTTTGTATTAGTTGTATAACGAACAGCAAATAGCCATCGGAAGTACAGGAAATCCTTAACGACGAATAAATAAATACCACCATTGACTAACATTTATTGCTGTCAATGAATCACGAATAAGAAGAAATGTCCGAGGAGAAACGATTCATAATTTATAGTTAATTATATATTTTAAAATCTGTTGTAATTTACCACTCCTTTTTCGCAGGAGGGAAAAGAAAAAATTTCACTTCATTCCAAAAATTAATAAACATTATTAACATAATAATAATAATTTTCTAATATATACTAAACACTTTTCGAAGAGGATAAATCGTAACGGGACGTCGCTAATTTGATCGAGACTAGATTGAGCAAGATCACCTTATTTCCTGTACTTGAGAACGCGCGCGACATCAACTCGGTGGTCGTTTTGGAAAGGAAAGCGTTAGAGTCGTAAGAGAGGAAAGCGATCAGACGTTGAACGGGTGTTGCAAAACGAGCAACTAGCGTCTTTGTTATACGCACCAGAGTCCAGCCAATGATCATTAATATCTCGCAGCTTCCAGGGCCCGAGCGACTAGACCAATTACCGTTATAGCGCAAACACTGTTGCTGCCGTTAGAAAATGATTTATCGCGAATTGTTCTCGGGCGTGGGATTTATTAGAGCAAGTCGCGAGCGCCCGCTTATTGAAAACTCCTTCGGGACTGGCGGCGTGAAACGCCCCTCGAACCTATTCGATTTCTGCCGACCGACAACACCAGGTATCTTTGAAACGAGACGCGTCGCGATCGACTGCGCGTACGTACGTGCCGTTACAGTGCCACAGCCGATTTATCTTAAAACATTTCTTCCCTCTACTTATGCACCTCAAACGAATCCGTGCGGCGATAACGCTGATCGGAAAATGATGCCCTGAACTTGCATGATTTTTTTTTTATTTCTTTTTAGTAGTAAACGTTTTCGATTGTCTTGGCCTATTTATGAATTGGATCAGAGATAAGTTGATTGAAGAAATTCATTTATTTTCCTTACGAACGTATATAGGATACGAGGTATTAATCTCGAAAAGATAGCTAACGTGAAATTAGTTTACACGCAACCGGCATATATTCACACATTTCTTACCGCGTAAACGCAGGTATTTATCAATCGCCTCTGCAAATTTACAGTTTTTGTCCCTCCGCGAAACTCGTTTAATAAATTACTTTCGCGACCAGCGCGTTAAATTTGACGCCGATATATTTTACGAGCGATCGATGCTTCAATATCGACGATCGAACTGAGTATTAGTATCTTGATTTTATCACGGATGAGTATCCTACATAGTATACATATATATAGGTATATATGTACATAGGCGCGCACAAGAAACACTCTGCTGCATCCGATGCAATATATTAATTAATTAGCAGTGACGACGTATAATTATGCGCTTGAAATTATCGTCTATCGAACGCTCGATCTCGCGAGCGCGATAAATCTCGCGATACGCGAGCGTTAAACGCTTGACGATAAATTTCGCGGCGCCGTACGGAAAATTAAGCGCTATTTGTTCAATCGATCGATCACGCCGATCGATCAAGCGCGCGCGATGTAAATTCGCGTTGCATCCGATCATTATACATCGGTAAACGAGCGTGATTGATCACGCGTGCGATGTATCTCCCGGGTCACCGTTAAAAAAAAAAGAGAGGAAAAAAAGGAAGGCAGAAGTTCCATTCCATTAATTTTTCACGTTCCGTTAAGTCTTCACTCTCTAAGCGAGGCGCGACTTAGCGCGAGGCCGCAAATAAACGCGGAACACGCGAGTTTCTCGGTTAAAATCACTCTTCCTTTTCTTCTCTCTCTCGCGAGAGAAGCAAGCGAGATTCCTCGTCGTTTTTTGCAACGTAAGAACCATCGAAAGCCTCTTTTGTCTTAAAAAAAAAAGAGCTAACTACGGACTGCGACCGGTGAAATCCTATAGTGATCGCCTTCACGTTACTCTTTTAATGTATCGCTAAATACCGTCATGATCGTGACATTGTCTCTCCGCATAATTCGATACCTCGGTCTGTTGCGTGATGTAACGCCACGGCCAGTTACATGGTCGTTAGTCTAGCGTAACGTCATCGTGAACACGCAGAAACGACGCTCGTTCTTCATCTTAAGGGGGAATTAGTCATTATATAAATTAAGAAAGCCGACGCGAGATTATTTTCGCCGCAATAAAATAATATCAACCCGAGAATCGCTTAAAAAAAATCCTCGAAGGTACTTTCATTTTATATAAGTGTATACCATAATTCACATAGAACAGATTATTTCTTCTTTATTTAAGAAATTCGATCCTATTCTTTCATACTATCCTAAATAAATAGAAAATCTCGATCCCAACGTTTAGCGTTAATATTCCTCGCCTCCACAACTTTACTTTAAGGCTTGCCAAGAGCCTTGGGGTGCTTTTATATAAATCTTGCGAAACGTCTTACTCAGAGGCACAAGGGAAACACCCCTCGGTAGAAAATAAGGCGAGAGCGAAGAGGGGTGAAAAGCCGAGAGCCTTTTTAAGAACGACCGCTCATCGTCGCTGATCGCGATTAACGTCCCTTAACGTGAATCCCCGAGATTTCTACAATTCGACTAATCTGATTAGATACGACTCGTATTCACGGAGTGTATATACGACAAAAGGTCAAACAGAGCCATACTTTCTACTTTATATACTGCGATCTTATAATCCGAATAATCTTTAAATCCGAAAGCGCTTGTCAAGATGATTCCGGATGTGTGCGCTTTCATTAAAAAAAAAATCAGATTTAGACGTGCGTCGATCCGTCATTATTCACTCTGCAATGTTAAAATGATCTTGGATTGGACAGGTACTATATGTTACGTTAAAAATGCGGAATGATTTGTCAAGAAACGAGACGATTGATTACTATATACGAGTTAAGTATATACGAATAATCGCAGAACGATTTCCCCGTAAATGATCGAGCGATTAATTCGTGATCAATGATTTAAGTTTAAGTGATTCGAGCGTAAATTGAATAGAGCTCTTTTCGAAGGATTATTTAATTAACTTGCATATTCGCAATTATTTCCTGACCGCGATACGTCGAGAAAAAAACATATAAAAAAGAAAAAGAAATGTTCTGAAATGGTATCGTGAAACGATCGTAAAATTCGCGGCAAAAATCCATCCATCCGCGCGCGCATCATGATGCACTTATCGAGCGGAAAAATGCAAATGTTCCCGGAAGTGGTAAATAAGGGTCCAGAAAAGACGATGCGGCTTGAAAGACGGGGATTCCGAAGGAGGATACGCGCGCATGGATATTACGGCGCTCCTAGGCTTCGGGTGTGGTTGATCACAAGATAATATGTCGTAAGAAGCTGAGTAAAAGACAGACTAACAAGGAAGATGTTTTTGTTTAACACGCGGGATAACGTGAGAAATAAAAATAAAACCGCACGCAGTTTCGCGCGTCGATGCAGTCCACCGGTCAAGTGTTTCTACATTACAAAATAATTTATGGATAATAGGAAATATTACGTAAAAAAGTTTAAGTGCAATATATTAGAATTTATATTTTATTTTAATTAAATCAAAATTGAAAATTGTTGCGATATAATGGAATCTATAAATAAATTTGCGGATAATTTTTATAATTGTTAAAAATGATATAAACGATTGACGTATTTTAGCGTAATTATTATGCATTATTGAATTAGAGGTTTGCGAGAGGTATACGCTTCCAGGAATCGATATATATCAATGAAAATATTTTAACGATAACTGATAAGAGTACGACGAGAGACGTTTAACCCTTTCGCTGCCGAAGACAGCTGTAGGCGCTAGGAAGACTCCGTTCGTACATATAACTAAAGACGACTATGATCGCCCGAGTGGAACTGACATTTCCTCGAGGCGTTCGTCCGAACCGATAAGATTTCCATTCCCGCGATCTAACAACACATGACTACGTACGCACTTTATCGGAAATTACGTCAAAAAATAAATGTTTCAATTAAATCTCATTAGATTGCTTTTTTCATTTTTTGTCACAATTTTTAAATGTGACTTACGTCACTTTAAACATAAATTTAATATCTCCCGTATTAAATATTTCAAAATTCTATTTCAAATATCCCGACTATAACTTGTACATGGAGAGTATTTTCTCTTATAGATTTTACCCAGAAAATCATGGTAATCGTGAGAAAATGATATTGGAAGAATTTTATAAGAGTTTCTCTAATTAATATTTACCACAACAAGATATAAAACATGTTCGATTAATTTTATTATATCGTGATAAATATTAATCAGAGAAACTTAAATAAAATTCTTTCTACCATATTATCTCACGATGATTTCAGGGTAAATTGTAAGAGAAAATACTCTGCGTGTAC